TTGCCCTATACACGAAATCACAGCTTCCCTATCTTCATCAACATTTAACAATTCCTCAAAATATTCCTTCCATCTTCCCAATACCTCTAACTCTCCATTTAATAACTCTCCTCTCCTATTTTTAACTGACAAATCCATTTGTTCTCTAGGCTTTCTTAACTTGTTAATCTCACTCCAAAACTTTTTCTTATTTTCAACAAAATTTGTTGATAACATCTCACCCACTCTCTCATTTGCTCTCTTTTTACATTGCTTCACCACTCTCTAACCTCTCTCTTTTTCTCCATATACTCTTCCCTCCTTGCATCACTTCTACTTTGTAAAAACTTCTCATATGCTAACTTTTTCTCCCTTACTACTCTCTTTACATCATCATTCCACCAATCGCTCCTCTTCCCTCCTGCACCCACTTTCTGTAACCACAAACTTCTGCTGAACACTCTAACACTACATTTTTAAACCTACCCCATACCTCTTCGACCCCATTGCCTAGCTCTCATTAGCCCATCTATCCTCCAATAGCTGTTTATATCTTACCCTAACTGCCTCCTCTTTTAGTTTATAAACCTTCACCTCTCTCTTCCCTGATGCTTCTATTCTCCTTGTATCCCATCTACCTTTACTCTCAGTGTAGCTACAACTAGAAAGTGATCTGATATATCTGTGGCCCCTCTATAAACATGTACATCCTGAAGTCTACTCAACAGTCTTTTATCTACCAATACATAATCCAACAAACTACTGTCATTTCGCCCTACATCATATCGTGTATACTTATTTATCCTCTTTTTCTTAAAATATGTATTACCTATAACTAAACCCCTTTCTATACAAAGTTCAATCAAAGGGCTCCCATTATCATTTACACCTGGCACCCCAAACTTACCTACCACACCCTCTCTAAAAGTTTCTCCTACTTTAGCATTCAAGTCCCCTACCACAATTACTCTCTCACTTGGTTCAAAGGCTCCTATACATTCACTTAACATCTCCCAAAATCTCTCTCTCTCCTCTGCATTCCTCTCTTCTCCAGGTGCATACACGCTTATTATGACCCACTTCTCGCATCCAACCTTTACTTTAATCCACATAATTCTTGAATTTACACATTCATATTCTCTTTTCTCCTTCCATAACTGATCATTTAACATTACTGCTACCCCTTCCTTTGCTCTAACTCTCTCAGATACTCCAGATTTAATCCCATTTATTTCCCCCCACTGAAACTCTCCTACCCCCTTCAGCTTTTTTCGCTTAGGGCCAGGACATCCAACTTCTTTTCATTCATAACATCAGCAATCATCTGTTTCTTGTCATCCGCACTACATCCACGCACATTTAAGCAACCCAGTTTTATAAAGTTTTTCTTCTTCTCTTTTTAGTAATTGTATACAGGAGAAGGGGTTACTAGCCCATTGCTCCCGGCATTTTAGTCGCCTCATACGACACGCATGGCTTACGGAGGAAAGATTCTTTTCCACTTCCCCATGGACAATAGAAGAAATAAAAAGAGAACAAGAGCTATTTAGAAAAAGGAGAAAAACCTAGATGTATGTATATATATATATGCATGTGCGTGTCTGTGAAGTGTGACCAAAGTGTTAGTAGGAGTAGCAAGATATCCCTGTTATCTTAGCGTGTTTATGAGACAGAAAAAGAAACCAGCAATCCTACCATCATGCAAAACAATTACAGGTTTTTGTTTCACAGTCATCTGGCAGGACGGTAGTACTTCCCTGGGTGGTTGCTGTCTACCAACCTACTACCTACCTATACAGTCACATATTATACAGTCACATATTATACAGTCACATATTATACAGTCACATATTATAGTCACATATTATACAGTCACATATTATACAGTCACATATACAGTCACATTATACAGTCACATATTATACAGTCACATATTATACAGTTACATATTATACAGTCACATATTATACAGTCACAATTATACAGTCACATATTATACAGTCACATATTTATACAGTCACATATTATACAGTCACATATTATACAGTCACATATTATACAGTCACATATTATACAGTCACATATTATACAGTTACATATTATACAGTCACATATTATACAGTCACATATTATCCTTCTGGCAACCAAAGACAGAAGTTCGCAGTTTTCAGATTCTTGTCCGAAAATCATTATTTTATGACCACAAAGAAGAAAGTTGCAGAATGAGATTTCTGTGTATATCTTCCTCAGGTCATCTTCCTCAGGTCATCTTCCTCAGGTCATCTTCCTGAGGTCATCTTCCTCAGGTCATCTTCCTCAGGTCATCTTCCTGAGGTCATCTTCCTCAGGTCATCTTCCTCAGGTCATCTTCCTCAGGTCATGATAAATCTGGACACAGAATGAAACATATCAACAAAAGCAAGTTGTGCAGCCTGGCAACAATATTCTCTCATCCATTTCCCTCTTTTGTTAACTCTGAGAGATTATTTTTAGCCAGAGTTTTGGCCGTTTCCATTTTTTTTTGCTTTTGTTTTGAGGCAATGCAGACTATCTGTATATTTCAAAAAATACTTTAAAATTTTTCAATACATATGAGTTTTTACGCTTTCCTTTGTGACCTGATCGTCATCTGTTTGTAGTAATTCCCAGGTGTGTGTGTGTGTGTGTGTGTGTGTGTGTGTGTGTGTGTGTGTGTGTGTGTGTGTGTGTGTGTGTGTGTGTGTGTGTGTGTGTGTGTGTGCAAGTTCCAGCAAACGTAGTCATATTTAAAATAAAGTTTATATGGACAGTCATGTCTCCACCTTTACTCTGATAAACACACAACCATATATTGACAAAGTTACTATAAAATTTTAATCGTATCCATACACTGTATAAGGACTCATCAAACACACTTCCTGAGGAATACACACAATACTGGGCGGGGACTCGAACAGTGGTCCTTGTATATCCTAGTATTATCTTCATTGACAGCCATTCATTATGATTTATCTTGGGTTTACACGCACATGTATTGATATATATATATATATATATATATATATATATATATATATATATATATATATATATATATATATATATATATATATATATATATATATATATATATATATATATATATATATATATACATAGTGTGATGTTGCTCCAACCCATTAATCTACTTAAGTTTGGTTTATAATTGGGTGTATTTCGGCACAGTGCTCCATTGTTCTGTTGTTGATCGAGGGGTTATATGGCGGAGACAGAGAGAGAGAGAGAGAGAAGAGAGAGAGAGAGAGAGAGAGAGAGAGAGGAGAGAGGAGAGAGAGAGAGAGAGAGAGAGAGAGAGAGAGAGAGAGAGAGGAGACAATCATCGAGGTTACTAGAGGTAGGTCGTGCGAAACCTATTTCAGAGGGTATACCTGGAGTATACCTGAAAGGAGTATACCTGAAGGGAGTATACCTGAAGGGAGTATACCTGAAGGGGGTTTCGGGAATCAACAACGCCCCCGAGGCCCGGTCCGTGACCAGGTCTCGTAGTGGATCAGGGCCTGATCAACCAGGCTGTTACTGCTGGCAGAGTGAAGCCACTTCTAAAACCGACTCTGAAAGACTTGCGGGAGGTTGGTGCTGGAGCTACAGTAACTCACTAGGTTATATGTGTATCGTACCATAAGCCTTAGGTCACACCACACATACATGTACAAGCATATATATACACACCCCTCCGGGTTTTCTTCTATTTTCTTACTAGTTCTTGTTCTTGTTTATTTCCTCTTATCTCCATGGAGAAGTGGAACAGAATTCTTCCTCCGTAAGCCATGCGTGTCGTAAGAGGCGACTAAAATTCCGGGAGCAAGGGGCTAGCAACCCCTTCTCCCGTATACATTACTACATTTATATAGAGAAACATTTGCTTTTCTTTTTGAGCCACCCTGCCTCGGTGGGATACGGTCGGTGCGTTGAAAGAAATAATAATAATAATAATAATAATAATAATAATAATAATAATAATAATAATAATAATAGTAATTGTAATAATAATAATAATAATATAAATAATAATAATAATAATAATAATAATAATAATAATAATAATAATAATAATAATAATAATAATAATAACAAAAGGATAAACAGCATATTTTCCAGGGATCATTAGAGAAGGAATAAATGTTAAGATTTCACTTCTAGTTTTGACGTGTAGTTAAGATGTGAGTGAACTGTGTGTAATTATTTGTAAAATGTTTGTGTGGGACTGGGTTCTTGGTGACTTATTGTCCTCTGATGTCATTAAGAAGAATTTTATTAGTATTATTATTATTATTATTTTGTTCAGAGGAAGTTCTAAATCCGTAGGGGTCATACAGCTCCTGGCGAGTGGGTGGCCATCAGAATGGATTCAAGAAAGGGGAAGAGTAGCTTTGGCTTCTTGATTCAAGAGTCTTTTAACAGTACCAAAGGTTTCTCTCTAGAAGAGTGTTAGGTTTAAAGCCTATCGACTGTAACACCATTTAGGATGCATTTCACCCACACACTGACAGTGTTTACACCTCTGCATTTCGCCCATACACTGTCAGTGTTTATACCTATCCATTTTGGATGGCCATTGAGGTCCAGATGGCTGGCAGGTCCAGCACACAATATTCTCCAATACACCCCTGGCTATGTATACCCTCGTCCCTGAGTCATATGTTGTTTCAGTACATATTCCTGCTCATGTGTGATGTGAAGCCTGTGTGTTTGTCTTATGTATGTGTTCTGTATCTTTGTGTGTCTTGTAGCTTATTGCAGCTCATTCTCAATCAAATAATGTTATATAGTGGTGCTTCTTATGACGAATAATAATAATAATAATAATAATAATAATAATAATAATAATAATAATAATAATAATAATAATAATAATAAGAAGAAGAAGAAGAAGAAGAAGAAGAAGAAGAAGAAGAAAAGGAGGAGGAAGAAGAAGAAGAAGAACTAGAGAGAGAATTAAAAGTTGGCTGCTGCTCGTCTAGCAACATCCCAGCCAGCATCACAACACTTGGCAGGACCAGTTGGTGATGACTGGTCACTAGTGTATCACCACCGCGGAGATGAGGCTGCTCATCACGGTCACACAAGACAATCACGGTGGAAATATACTACGAAGAAAAAACTAGAGGAAGATTAAAGATCAGAAGCCAAAAAAAAAAAAATAATAAATAAACGGGAAGGAGGCATAAGTGTTCAGTGGTTAGGCGTCTAAGAAACTATATAATAATAACAGACTGTAAGATGATCAAACAGCCGTGAAGTGAGTGTATTATATTGCGATATGAGCAATCTGTCGCAGCAGTAGTGAGCTAGTGTAATAGTGAGGTGTCTGTTAATATAAGTAAACAGCAGTTGAGTGTGTTCTCAAGCTACACTCAACGTTAGTTACATTGTTAACCTGACCTACACTGCACCACGGGCAGGAACCTACTCCAGCATCCACAATGTAATACAAACATCGTGAAATTCATGGAGAAAATAATTCCAATTGTATCTTTACATAATAGATTCCTCGAAATTTAAGCATATATATATATTTTTAATTAACACTTTCTTTGAATAGGCTAGATCAGTGATACATGTAAATGAATTCAGGTATAAGCTGAAACACATCCATACTTATAAAAATATTGGAAATAAATTGAAATCGGGATATTATTAATGAAATATTATTTCTATTACAACTCTGTGTAAATGGTAGAAAGAAATTAAAGAAACTAAAATGTGAAAATGTGTCTTTAGAATTAACTGGAACAGGTTTAAGTACAGAGGCTGGAAATTTTTGTGATATAAATACACTGAAACCAGGAATTCCTAAAAAGAATCTAAAAAAGAAGTTAGAAACTTTTGTGTTAGAAATAAACTAAAACCAGATGCTCTTGGACGAGTGAAACGTGAAGGACATGAAACTAAACCAGAAGGGAAGATTTGAGTTAGGAGTGAAGGTTCCAGGGATATTACTAACTGTGTCTCAGTCACCGAGATGTCCTCTGAAGGACCCGCAGGAATGTGACTATTAAAAGGTAATTGTAAGAACACTTGAATGTAACTAAGAATATTTTAATTTGACCCTGCAATAACCGAGTGTTATCAAGAATACGTGAATGGGTTACTAGAGCATGTAAATGTCACGCCAAGAAGCCAACGTGACTAGGGATTCAAGAATACGGTGGAAGGATTGAAACGTTCCACAATAAATCTCAAAAGATTCAAGATTGTTGAAGAATTCATCTGAGACAACCATGGAACGAGGTACTCTGGACATCACCTCGCCTGATGACTCCAGCAGGAGACGCACCTGGGCCCCGGCTTGGGCACTATTATCAAGGAAGGCAATGGTGCAGCTGGCTGTGGTGGTAGCGGTGGTGATAGTGGCGGTGATAACCGTGGTGGTGGTCACTAATGACTATGTGAAGAGCCACTTGACGTCGCTGGATCGAGTCAGATGCCTCGAGCGTAAGTCCATGTATCATCCAAGATTCTCGAGGTGTGTGTGTGTGTGTGTGTGTGTGTGTGTGTGTGTGTGTGTGTGTGTGTGTGTGTGTGTGTGTGTGTGTGTGTGAGTGTGTGTGTGTGTGTGTGCATTCGCCTGTGCATATTTTGAACTGACTGGCATAACTGATCTCTGGCCTTGTGAGCCAGACAAAACACACGCACACACACACACACACACACACACACACACACACACACACACACACACACACACACACACACACACACACGCAGTGGAATAGCCTAGAAAGTGATGTAGTGGAGGCAGGAACCATACATAGTTTTAAGACGAGGTTTGATAAACCTCATGGAGCGGGGAGAGAGGGACCCAGTAGCAACCGGTGAAGAGGAGGGGCCAGGAGCTAAGACTCGACCCCTGCAACCACAAATAGGTGAGTACAAATAGTTGAATACACACACACACACACACACACACACACACACACACACACACACACACACACATATATATATAATATATATATATATATATATATATATATATATATATATATATATATATATATATATATATATGTATATATATTGTTTAAGACTGTCTAGATCGTCCTGGATCCTGTCCGCATCTTTGAATTTATGTGTTTCCTCTCAGTTTAAGAGCTAAAACAAAAACAAACTGAAAATTATTTCATAATTTTCTTTATAAATATTAAAGATTAGAGAGTGTAACAATAAGGAAGATAACTCCTCAACTGATCTTATTGTTTTCAGTCATTCGGGATACCCAAGGATCACTGATAACTTGTAAACCACGAACACCTACATTCATATCCGTAAATCTCCAAATTGGAATGTCTGAACTCCTGCATTGGAAACTACGAATCTCTCACATTCCAATCCACAAACTCTCACAATCAAAATCATGAACCTTCACACTCTAATCTCTTCTTTGTAATCCACATTAGTTATTCAATATTTATTTGACTGTGACCGTACACTGACATACCAATCCACCTCTGCTAATTTTGTACTGAATATCATAAGAAGTTATTTCACGGTTTATTTGAGGAAAATATAAGATGAAAACGACATTATAACTTTCTTCTCCTCCGAGTGATCCAGCCACTAAACGTTCATGAATATTTAATGTGACTGGTACATCAGAACAAATATTTGTGACTGGTATCTAAGAGTAATGATATTCAATAGCTTTTCTTTTTATTGTGTTAATTCACTGTCAGATCGTTGGTGAGCGAAAAGAAACAGTGTCGAATATGACCTTCGAGAGAGAATTGTGCGAAGAAATGAAAAACTTGCATTAGAGTGAAAAAACTTGAGGTAAATATTTACAGTGATTTTGCGTTTTCTGTTGTTATGAATAAAAATGAATGATGTTACATAAGCCAAAATTCTTCATTTATTTCTGAATATCGTCGCCGAAGTCTTGATATAAATTAGCGAAAAAACATTTCTTAGAATTACGGGCTCTACTTCATCCTCAACTACCTGGCAACGATGTGCTATTTGGAGTGAGTAAGGCTTAAATCCTCGTTGTATATACCGTTTACACTTATTAGTTTAGCTTATATACCCTGGGCAAGAAAACGCAAAGTTGAGGAATGGATGTTTTTAACATGGCTGTGCTAATGACTGCTAATTAGCTAGGAATAACAGAAGTATGGCTTGGACACCTGAGTATGACTCGAACAACTGTAGTGAGGGAACCTCTTCTCTTGTGTGTCATGTCTCAGAAATGCTTCAAGGTCAGGTGTTATGATGGGCTGCTCAGGGCCAGGAAGGAGTGGGCGGCCACACCTTGAGAAATACGTACATACAAACCGATATTGTGAGGGGATGTTTACTGTATATGAAGGCTCGTATCTGGGAATGTGTACTTTGAGATGTGTGTAGGTAGGCTGATATTATGTAATGGGTGTGCGTGTGGGGGTGTGTATGTTGTTGATGGTGTGTATGTGTATGCAGGGGTGAGTGTTTGGAAGGGGTACATGATCGTAGTATATGAGCAAGAGGTTTAAATACTTAGATATATTAACCATTAGTAGTTACAAGAATCTCCTTTAGGGAGGTTTATTGATCTTATCGTGTTTTCTCATTCTTATCTTCATTATCACGTTCCCTCACTGTTAACGTTCCCCAGACTTATCTTTTAAAAATTATCATGTTCACTTATTCTTCTTGTTTTCGCGTCCCCTCCTCCTTATTCCTATTATCATGTTTCCTCATGCATATTATGCAACTCACTCTCTTCCCTATTCTTATGTGATATTGTTCTGCCCTCTTCCCTTCCTTTCCATTAACTCTGCTCTTCGTCTCCTCAGCGGGGGTGGAAGAGGCGAGGTGTCTCAAAGTGGGTTGTGTATGGACGCCGAGGGTCGACGCCCCCAGCTGTTACTACCCCCCTGCCTCCGTCCACGGTTACCAGGTGACGACGCCCCCAGAGAGTGTCTCCCCGGGGGTGACCAGACTGACGGTGGAGCTCAAGGCCACGTCAGCTTGGGTGGTGCCGGCCATGAAGGAGCACCTGCTGGTGGAGATGACGGAGTACGGTGGCGACGTCTTCAGAATCAAGGTGAGGCTGCTGGAGAGAACTGTTTTCTGCAGGAAAATATGTCTACTGTGTGCAATTTCCCTATATCTCAAACTTTGTGTATATAAGATCACAGTAAACAGGTGATATCACAATATGCAGAACAACCACTATGAAAAATAGTAAAATTCCAAGCGCTTTCGTGACTTCTCACGTTATCAATAAAATTTAGGAAAAATTTAAGATACATTAGACAAATTTTTGGATAGAATATAAGCTGTGTTTCACGGATCACTGACTACCTACCTACATCATCATAAAAAGTCAGGTGTTGTTGGGAGTGGCAGCGAGGTGTAGTCTCGTTCTTATATGCCTTCCTGTTAACCTTTTATTTTTATAGTTCCTTGATAATGTGAGAAGTTACGAAAGCGCTTGGAATTATATATATATATATATATATATATATATATATATATATATATATATATATATATATATATATATATATATATATATATATATATAATATGCAATATTCGGTATTCGGTTAAGACTTTTGAATTTAACGATCTGATTTTTGTACTTGTTTCTGTGTACAGATTACGGTGCCTGGTGAAGAGCGCTATGAGGTGCCAGTGCCACTAGAGTTACCTGAGGTGACCAGGGCTGATAATCCCAGGTACAGCGTCGCCTTCACCGCCCCCGGGAGCAGCGACTTCGCCATCATCGTCACGAGGACAGAAACGGATCGCGTCATGTGAGTAACAGAAGTTGTGGGAATTTTAGGGTAGAGTACATGACTGAAGGGGAATTACAGCACTGGTGGTAATATTAATGACAGGTTAAGTTAAGGCTTGTCAGGAAACAAGACATGCGCTTCCTGACCCGGGTGTTGGTCATATGAAGACCTGCTTTTGGTCATTTGACCGAGGCATTCCGCTGGCTTACCGGTCCACCCCTTTAAAAATTACAAAATACATTATCACTAGTATTGATGTTAGTGATGAGAATAGTTACAGTAGTGTTAGTAATATCTGCAGTCGTTGGAATGGTGGAAGTTGTAGTGATAGTAATATAAGTGGTGCTGCTTGTAGTGTTGAGTAGTAATATTGTAAGTGACGGTTGAATGAAACACTAGCATTTAAATGTAAAGATCATGAATGAAAGAGTTAATTGTGACTCGCAGAACAAAATGCCAGAGATTAATCCTTATAAACACTGCAACAACTTCAGTCTCTTTTGACACAATGACCGTGAACTTAATATAATAATATTTGTTTTGTGCACTTGGCAGCTTCGACACCAGCATCGGAGGTATGACGTACGCTGACCAGTTCCTTCAGGTATCAACAAAGCTGACCTCTGATAACCTTTACGGGCTGGGAGAGGCAACCCACCTCAGCCTCAGACATAACCTCAACTACATCACCTGGCCCATGTTGGCCAGAGACCAGCCTCCTGGCAAGGTGAGTTGTGGAGGATGGCGGAGGGAAGGAATATGAGATAAATTCAGCTTCAGAAAGGATGTTGTAAAGCACTGGTAAAGCAAGAGTCGTAAATGAGTGGCATGAGCTGATTTGTTTTACTGAAGTAAAGCTTCAATAGGTAGCTTTAAGCTGCCATTCTGTTATGAATTTTTATATTTAAAATTATTAGGTAAACGGAGGGGAGGGGGGGAAGATGAATATTTTGGAAAGTAAATAGATAGTGTGAATGATAAAAATGGATGATTTTGGAGAGATAAAAAGGTGAGAATTATTAAAATACTATTATTATAGAGAGTAAGCAAGTTTTAGAAGGATGCAACACAAACTCCAAAAATCACAGAAGCATTCTAATAAATATGAAAAATTTTCTTTCACCAATACAAAGTTGATAAGTTATCCCCCCTCCCCCCCCCCAAAAAAAAAAAATGACGTAAAATGTAGATATGACTTTGGTGTGTGTCTAGCATTAGTAATAATATTAGGAGAGCAGTAAATAATGAAATTGAATGTTATAAGGATGCAGTTAGACGCCTGAGTAGATCTTATCACTCAGTATAATAACATGAACGTAGATAAGTACGTTTATGGATCATCTTGCAAATGTGAACAGACTGACCGATATTGAAGTAGCTAGGCTTAGTTACAAGTAATTCTGGCAGTTTGGCAGGTCAGATGATGATCAAACCAAATACGAAGTATGTGGCCAACCCTATGGTTACTATATTGAACACTATGTGCTGTATTGTCCACTTACTGAGGAAAATAGAGATAGGTTATTATTTTATATGTCAGGATATCTTATTAATGAAAATAGAATACCCAGATATATTAATAAAATTTCTTAAATTTGCTTGCAATGCAGTGCTGCATGACCCTTGTGGGTTTAGCGCTTAGTTTTGATTATAATAATTGCAACAGATGTCAACTATAGATATAAATCCAGATGTACTCCTGTTAGGACTTTTAAAGCCTAGTTCCTAGGCCTTTTGTGTATCCATATGCTCTTGCGCTACCGTGCACCGGATGGATATCGAGTGCACGATAAACTAGCCACTTTGGCGGCGAAATCAAAATCAACCTAAACAGCAATATAACTTTTTAAGCAGAGTAATCTAACTTCTATACTCATAGCAATTTTTACTTCTATACTCATGACGAACTTTTTTTTTTGTTTATTTCTGCGTACGGCTAGATTGGAGAGAACCTGTACGGTGTGCATCCCGTTTATCTGGTAGTGGAGGAGACTGGCAGCTCCCACGCTGTTCTCTGGCTCAACTCAAACGCCATGGGTGAGTCTCCTGCCACATGTGATCAAAGTCTGCTGGTAAGGCGGGTCATTTACCAGTTTTGGTGAATAAATTGGTTGTAATGGATCAGAAGGCCCAGTTGGCCGACTAAATTGACAGATTCACAAGAGAAAACGCTGTAGTGAAAATGATGAATTATCATATTAAGATTGGTATATTGGATGGAAGTTAGATGTTGTAATAGGATATGGACTGGATAATGAGTGGAATAGACAGTAGGCGATGCTCAACATGGCAAAAAAATCTGATGGGAATGTTTTGTTGTGGGGCCCCATAAATTTATGTCTTCGGAGTCTTGTCTCTCACGTCAGAGGCGGAGACGATGCCCTTACCGGGCTTGACGTTGAGGTCCATAGGTGGTGTGATGGACCTGTACTTCTTCCTGGGCCCCAGCCCAATGGACGCGCTACAGCAGTACACGCTGGTGGTCGGCCCACCTGCCCTCCCGCCATACTGGGCCCTCGGCTTCCACCTCTGCAGGTGAGATGCGAGACATGACCAAATTAGAATTAAGAAGACTACACTGCCTCCTGATTAGGTGGGTATCCCCGTATCCACATATGTGTGCAGAGGCAAGAGTCTTGAGTCTCCCATACCCACTTTGTCAAGGTAGGTGAAGTCACACGAGTTCTCTCACACGCACTTGACAAAGGGGTATGCGAGAGTCAGACCCTCACACTCACCTGACAAGGCAGGTGTGAGAAAGAAACTTTTAAAAAGTAAGAATGATTTTTTATTTTTTTTTTACATTTGTAGCTTATCTTTAGGAGGCATGAAGTATACCCAGACAGCACCGGTTCATTCTGCTAGTATTAAATATAAACACTGAGGGGGGGAGGGAATTGTGTCTTGATGCTGGCTAGTCCTTAAGGATCTAGCACTTTCCCGAGGCAGGGTGACCCTAAAAAGAAAGAAACAATTTCACCGTCATTCACACAATTACTGTCTTTGCAGAGGCGCTCAGGTACGACAATTTAGATGTCACTCCTAACAGCCAATATCTCAAACCCCTCCTTTCCCCAGAGAGTTGTTGGAAGACTTAACTGTGGCAAGTTAGAACAGTTCTCGGAAAAGTTAAGGCTGTTCCTTACAGTTTTTTCCAGTTTCCTATATAGTGAAAAATCATAAATCGTGTTATATACATCTATATCTAACGGTAGGTAAACAGCTCACTGGACTTTGAAAGCAGTCTTGAATCTCAGCATTTTCATCTCCCCTGTCCTCTTTCTCCCCTTTACCTGCGTCTTTCCCCTCTCTTGTGTCTCCTCTCACTTTCATCTCCCTCCTCCCACAGGTATGGCTACAATTCTCTGGACAATCTAAAGGCTGCCGTCTCCCGCACCAGACGTCGCGGTATTCCCCAGGTAAGGCTTCCTCAGGACTCCAGGTGCAGGTGGGCTAATACTGTCCTCTCTCAGTAAGGAGGACTTAAGGTGGTGAGTTAATACTATCCTCTCTGAGCATGGACGACTCGCCCCATAAAGAAAGACCCATTGGCGTTTTGAAGGTGGTGGTGGTGGTGGTGGTGGTGGTGGTGGTGGTGGTGTGGTGGTGGTGGTGGTGGTGGTGGTGGTGGTGGTGGTGGTGGTGCTGCTGCTGCTGCTGTCATGAATGGGGAATTAAATTGTTGGAGGAGGTGCTGGATGGTCCTCCAGTGTGCCCGGAGAACGGCGTCGCGTGTCCTTGAATAATGGAAGTAATACTGGAGGCTGCCTTCACATCCGAGGGTGATGGCCAAAGGCATAAGGCACCTGGTGTTTCCGATCATCCACCTCAGTTATTGGCTGAGCCTATCTTAGTCAATTCTAGAGGTGCCATCTCGGTATAATGTGAATCCTGGTGTGCTGGATATAGTAGAGCGTGCTGATAGTAGTTCAGGGGGTAGGAATATGGTTTATTTTTTACTTCTCCAACCTGTCCTTCCCTTTCTCCTTTTTTCCTTAAAAAATCCCCTCGTTTATCGTGGATAGCCATATTCATGCTTTGTCTTAGTCTTTTTCCTGATAGGCATAAATGAGCTTGTAAGGGACCTGGGAGTAGTAATGTCTGAGGATCTCACTTTCAAGGATCACAACAGTGCCACGATCGCACGTGCAAAGAAAATGATAGGATGGATAATGAGAACTTTCAAAACGAGAGATGCCAAGCCCATGATGATCCTTTTCAAATCACTTGTTCTCTCTAGGCTGGAATACTGCTGTACATTAACATCTCCATACAAAGCAGGTGAAATCGCAGATCTAGAGAGTGTACAGAGATCCTTTACTGCACGTATAAGTTCTGTCAAGCACCTTAACTACTGGGAACGCTTGGAAGCACTTGACTTGTACTCGTTGGAACGCAGGAGGGAGAGATATATCATAATCTACACTTGGAAAATCTTGGAAAGAATGGTCCCAAATCTGCACACAGAAATCACTCCCTACGAAAGTAAAAGACTGGCAGGCGATGCAAAATGCCGCCAATAAAAAGTAGGGGCGCCATTGGTACACTAAGAGAAAACACCATAAGTGTCCGGGGCCCAAAACTGTTCAACAGCCTCCCATCAAGCATTAGGGGAATTGCCAATAAACCCCTGGCTGCCTTCAAGAGAGAGCTGGACAGATACCTAAAGTCGGTGCCGGATCAGCCGGGCTGTGGCTCGTACGTCGGACTGCGTGCGGCCAGCAGTAACAGCCTAGTTGATCAGGCCCTGATCCATCGGGAGGCCTGGTCGTGGACCGGGCCGCGGGGGCGTTGATCCCCGGAATAACCTCCAGGTAACCTCCAGGTTGCCTCGGTCCTTCCCATATGTATCGGGTCGTCCTCGTATGCACTTGGTGTGGTGATTACCTACGCAGGTCCAGACTGTCGATTATTACCTATCCTTCTGTAGCATGCTATAGTTCATGCACCAGACTGGGCCACTTCACATGGTTTCAAGTTTGGTGCCAGGTTATCCCACACGCTGCTCTATACTTGCATGGCTCCACGATCCCAGTTTGCTCTACGATCAAATTTCTAGCTAGGCCTTCTCTTTGATTGTTGAATGACATCTCATTCCCACATCACATCCCTTAAATTCACCTGTCTCATTCGGCTGAGCTTCGCTTCAAACCTTCGGTCATCTAACTTTGGGAGTGGATTGGCGGACTCTCCTCGGGTTACATACAATCTGTATTTTATCGAAGCTCGAATATGTAGACCAAGTATATTCCCGAGCCTCTCCAGCTGAAGGTATGCTACATCTACGAGCTTTATCTTCCCTGGTAGAGAGTCGAGAGTTTTTATGCCGAAGCAAACATTCCCTCTTTACAGGATCGCCGCAATGAACACTGCTTTTAGTATTTTGCCTTCATGATCTTCACTTTCCTCGTATGTATAGGAAAACGGCATCGACCTCATTTCTTGCAACCCTTTAGACTTCGATATGAAATTTAGTGGCATCTCTTGACTTGCCCTACTTTATACTCACCTCCTTGAAATTCCCCACTAGTCACGTTTTTTACTCTTCTTTACATGCCCGAAGTCCAACATACCCTCTTTAAACTCTCGCTCAATATTCCTTGAACCACCATTTGCATTCTGTTGCCTTGTAGTGCATATAGATGGTTCTAAATCCTCTGATAGAGTAGGGTATACAGGCTTCCTTCCAGATAGAGTAATCTAATAGTCGGCTAGAATTTTGTACAGCAGTTATATTCCATAATCATTTCAACCATGCCCACCTCTGCATTCGTAATCGTTTCAGATTCTCGAAGTTCGTTATAAGGTATCCAGACTCCAGAGATACGACTCTCCACATCTCATAATACTTCCTACGCAGCAATGATTAAACTGAATTTTTAACATGCATAAAATAGTAGTTTTCTCTTGGGTACCTGGAGACAGATGTTCAAGTTAACGAGCACTCAGGACTCAGCTGCTCGATCTGTTATCTACTGTCTACTAATTTTCCATAGGGAGGTTCATTTTTCAGATTATTTTCAAGTGTTCTCTGAGATTCCGATACCGCTGAACAGCATTGGTTCCAGTCAGGGGACAATAATTTTTTTTCCATCGAGCCACAATGAGACTTCTGGCCATAATCTTTCCATTACTGTCGGACGAGAGGAACCACATTTGCACCTCCGTGGATTGAACACTTAAAATTCGCACACGACTACCACATGCAGAGGCGCCAGGCACCTTTCTGCGATGATTGCTTGGTAATCTTAGCAGTTAACCTGTTAATAAACTATCATATTAATCAGGAAACATGGAACATTCACTTCCGACATCTAAAACGCCAGAATGGACTTGCTGACCTCTCAGAAGCCTCATCATTAACGTAGACTCACTCTTTGACTTTGACGAAATTGACTTGCTGCTCCAGCTTTGATTACGATTTTGCACCCTCACTAACTCCAACTCCTCTAATCATTACTTCCACCTTCAGCAAGACCTTCCCTGTGTGTAGCAATGGATGACACGTACGGGTTTGGCACATGATTTCTGAATATATTGTTTATTAATTGCGACTCAAGATACAGGTTGGCTAATACTATTTTTTCTCACTGAGAAATACACAAGTACCTTCAAGAGCTCTCTTGAAGACTAATGAAGATCCCTCAGGATGTTTACCTTCGTGGAGCAGCAGTTAGCACTAACCTAACCGGTCGTAAACCGAGCCTCTATAAGTATTTGCGCAGAATAACCCCAACGGGTTTAGAATTCCACGTAAATAATCATCATACTCAGCTTACATTTCCCAACGTTGAGTTCACCTGCGTCACCCAGCTGCTTCACACACTATATTTCTGTACAACTTCTTCCATTCGTGTTACTGATGAAACTGTTTTTCATCCAAGAAACCGAGATCTTCCATTTGACTAAGTAAACCTGACTCTTCCACTCTTCAGATCCTTTAACTCCTAGGGATTTAGCGCTTTTTTTCATGAATATAACAGAAAGTGAAGGCAAGGTGCCGCTCTTAACCATGGATCATAATTATCTCTCTTTTGAAAATAATTATTTTACCCCATCATAATACGTATCTTCATAACCTCCTGAACCTTGTCTTCCAGGATGTCCAGTACGCTGACATAGATTACATGGACCGTCGGATGGTCTTCACATATAATGAAGTCAACTTCGCCGGTCTTCCAGAGTACATCAGGGAGGTCAAGGGTCAGGGTCTCCGCTTCATCCTCATCCTTGACCCGGCTGTCAACGCTGAGGTCAGTTCACATGAACATAAGAACAGAGTATTATATATTAATGGCTTACAAAACAGACATGTGGAACAATGAGACACGTGTGCTACACCTGGGGCATCTTTACTAAGGAGACGTATCACCAACAAGCGACTTTCTCAATCGAGTGCAGAGAATAATACTGGAGACAGTTGTCCGCCGTCTCCATGACCTGTCACTGTATGAGATAATCATCAAGAAGCTTGTTGGCAAGAGGCTGTAGAAGTCGTTATTCTGGGTGAAGTTGTTTGATATGTTGATTAGTGATGAATCCAGGATCCTGGGTGTCGATGTATCTTTGACAATGAGTCGTGCGTCATTGTAATTAATCAAATGTTGTGGGAATTTTTCACACAGAAATTCTTACAACCACTTGATCAGTTACAATGGCGCACGACTCATCGTCAAAGATAACACATCGAAAAGCTTGATTTTTGGAATCATAACTAATCAGCATATCAAAGAACTTCAGCCAGAATAACGGCTTCTACAACACATCTCAACCTCTTGCCAGGAAACGTGTTGATTATTAACTCACACAGAAACTGGTCAGAGTAGAGGGGAACGCTGTAGCAAGCCTTCTGGCCCAAGCTAAGCACGTTCTTCTAATTCAACCTCTTTCACCTGCGACACCCAGGTGAAAGAGGTTGAATTAGAAGAACCCATGTGATTTCACGTCACTAACTTACATATATAAATACATACACACATCCTCTCTTCCCAAGTAAATCTGTGACTTGATACAGCGGAACGTTGCCAGTATAGGATTACATTATAGTGTATTCATGTATATCGATACGCAGACTCCTGGATGCTAGTAAGGGAATCTAAGGAACTGACATTATCCTCTCCTTACACTGGATCGAATCTGAATGTTTTCTCAAAACTGCCGGGTGGTAGAGTGTGACATATTCAGATAAAGGTAAAAGGCTTGATCAATATAATTTAAAATTCTAGTAAAATAATATTTATTATGAGTGAATTTACGAGGTCCTTCGTCTGTGGTTAAACAAAGGTTGTGTTGCAGATGAAAGCGGAGTACCCAATCCACGCCCGCGCTCTCCTCAACGACGTCTACATCAAGTGGCCCCAGGATGTGATCCCTCAGGAGAACTTCAACGCCGGGGACATCATGCTGGGATATGTGAGTCTCTCTCTCTCTCTCTCTCTCTCTCTCTCTCTCTCTCTCTCTCTCTCTCTCTCTCTCTCTCTCTCTGTCAGGACACAGATTCATCATCACGCACACACACTCATGGAGCAGGGGGAGAGAGAGGACCTAGTAGCACTCGGTGAAGAGGCGGGGTCAGGAGCTGAGTCTCGACCCCTGCAACCACAATTAGGTGAATTAGGTGAGTACACACACTCCTATCTAACATGCTCAAACATGCCTACTGTATGTCCAAGCCCCTTGCACACGAAACAACCACGGAGGGAGGGGACGCTAAACCTGTAGGAGTCGTATAGCGCCTGGGAAATGGGGGGGGGGACATTTAGTTACGGTCCAGGTAAGGGGAGGTTAAGCACAGTTCCTTGGATCAAGAGCCCCTCACCGGCATCAAGGCACATTCCATGAGGGAAATGTACAGCATATACACTAAGAAATTTTGTCTCACTCTGCATATACCCTGTCGTTAACTGAGCTTATTTGTACGTGGTGTGTTGAACTCCACGTCCATGTACGTGGTGTGTATTGAACGCCATAACCAAGTACGTGGCTTGTGTTGAACGCCACGACCATGTACATGGCTTGTGTTGAATGCCATAACCAAGTACGTGGCATGTGATGAATGCCACGACCATGTACGTGGCTTGGGTTGAACGCCATAACCAAGTACGTGGCATGTGATGAATGCCACGACCATGTACGTGGCTTGGGTTGAACGCCACAACCAAATTTTGTCTTTACTCTTTAAATAAAATATGTGGACCATAGAAACTCGCTTAAAATCAATCCAGTTGTCGATTATATAGTTAACAAAACTGTGTACTGATGACCAGTCACCTGCACGTCTGAAATATCTGTAGAGATATGGCTTGACAAAGCTCCTGGAGAGCGAAACGTTGCCACAATAAAATGTCACATTAGTTGCACTTGTGTCCTTTTACTTTACATATTGTCGGTAATTCTACCAACTTTATTACATATATTCCCTTATTGTCTCTATGCTTGATTATCAAATCAGCCATAAATCGCAACTGCAGTGATTGCAAGTCACTCGAGAAACGCAAGAACAGTGTTCGAATGTGTTCAGACCTATGTGAACTTGACCAATTATTTCATGAAAGATGAGAAAGGTGTCTTGCTGCTAGTGTAAGGCTCTTGATCTAGGGAATTGAAATTTACCCTCCTCGTTGGATCAAACTTGGCCGCCTCATATTTCACAGGAGCGTTTTCTCATAGCTAATAAATGAAAGTAAATTATCCATGACCTGATGTTGTGATGTGGTGGTGTACGTCACCCTTCTCTCCCCCGAGCAGGTGTGGCCAGACAACAGGACGGCGTTTCCAGACTTCTTCCGGAACTCCACGAAGGAATGGTGGCAGGAGGAAATCGTCTTGTTACATAAAACACTGGAATTTGATGGACTCTGGATTGTGAGTATTGGTTGTAATGTGCCAAGTGCTGGTGGAAGCATTCTGTGTGAGAGTTTTTGGCGGGTGGTGCAGGGAAGGGATGTGCTGAAATCAGTCCAATACAAATTTTTCCCTTTAACTATTCCCTCACCCTCATAGGACATGAACGAACCCGCCAACTTCGGCACTAACGAACCTAAGCCGTGGAATTGGCCCGAGAACCGGGAATCGTGGAGCCTTTCCTGCCCGAACTCCACCTGGGACGATCCTCCCTATCCCATTGCCGCCGCCTCCACCTGGGGCCAGGGTAAGAGGTAAGAAACAAGGACTTCGTGGAGGGCAGATAGAAGATAGAGGCTGCCGAAGTGCAAGAAGAGGTACGGAATGATGGCTATAGAACATTTATTAATGATAGGTGACCTGTAGTTTAATTAATGGTAGAATGTTCGCTGATGGTTTAATGGTAGAGTGTTCGCTGATGGTTTATTCGTGTAGTAACAACCCAGTGTCTCCAAACACGGATGTTAATCATCAAAGCCGCTCGCTGGCTTATCTCAGCTAGGTTATAGACTCCATTTCAAAAGCAGAGGTATTGCTACATAAGTGTCAGATTCACGGTAAGGCAAGACGTATGGGCAAGTCTACATCGGCCCCAGTTCACCTAGTGATATTATATCCTTTGAGCACTAAACCCTTATTACAGCGCCTTTGGAAAGAGAGTCAATTAGATTTGGTCCCCTACTAGTATATTTTTGTCCATTGACAATATATACACTGTGAATAACTTTCAACTATTTTTCATGACTAGCTAAAGTCATTCAAAATTCTCCGACCTCAGCACGTGAAGGTAGCTGCTCTTAGAGTTCTAAGAGAAGTATATAGGTACCTGGATATTACTAGACTATTGTGGATGGCATCTTAGTAGACTAGTAGTATACTTTAGAAAGAACTTGTAATTGTTATGTATGCGTGTTAATTTTGATCAATGATATTTGCACCAAAATGTGAAGTGCCGACCTTTCAAGGGTCGACCTTGAGTCTGTGAAGGACTTTTCATTCAATGAATTATAGCTGTCCTCTTCCAGGGATAAATTTTGCCTCTAATTTCCCAGGCGCTTTATGATCAACATGCATTTAGAACTTTCCCATGGAAGGGATTGAGCATTATCCCAGACATGGGATGGATACTGAGTAGTGGTGTCTCCGTAGGATGTCTGACAAGACGCTGTGCATGGTGGGTCTTCAGGGAGAGGAGAGAGAACTCCGCCACTACGACGTCCATAACCTCTATGGGTGGTCTCAGACACGACCTACTCTCCAGTAAGTGAGTCCATCTCCAGCAACTCCATGCCCACACAGACTAGAGTACTACACATGTTGGGCAGCCACAAAAGAATCGGTGGAAAGTGAAGACGGCAGGTGACAGACCACCTCGTAATGGCGGGTTTCTCTTAAAAACAAAGCCTAGCTTTAGAGAGGGCGACTTTCCCTCATTTTGTTTCACTACCCTTGTGTATATCCATACGTATTCGCAAATAGTTATTTTTTTATACCCACACGACTACAAATGCATAGTTTAATGCTTTGATAGACATAATTATTAACAATTGTTAATAATTCTCACATTTGAGCCTTCATTTATACAAATTGCATTCGTACGTGATCGTCCTGTGCAGATGCACATTTCCCAGAGGCTTTCCTGCTTAAACCTGAAGCGTTAATCCGTGTATAATATTTCGCCTCCTTTCTGTACCTGGAGGTTACCTGGAGGTAACCGCGCAAAATCTTTCATGATCGCTCAGACTGGCCACTGTGAAAGCTTTTTTTTTTTTTTAGACTAGACTTTTATAACCTTAGAATTTATCTTAATCCTCTGCCTCTCAATTTTAGGTTTGGAAGATTATCATAAACTAGATCCTGTTATATGCAACCTTCAAACACTGAATAATCTGCCAGTAAATTCTACAGCCAATACTAACACACACTTCTTTAGTAAATATTTGAATAGTAGACTTGACCCCAAACACTGACTGGATGTTTACTGCTGCCCTCTTCCACAGGGCTGTGCAGGCGGCGACACAGAAGAGAGGAGTGGTGGTGAGCAGGTCAACGTTCCCCAGCAGTGGTAGGTGGGCGGGACACTGGCTAGGAGACAACACAGCACTCTGGTCACATCTACGTCAATCTATCATTGGTCTGTTCCTGCTTATTTTGGGCAGTTTAGTGGATTTTTTGAAATGTAATTTTTTTTATTAGCTTTCAAAATGTGATACTGAAAACGGGAATGGGTACAAAGGGAAGATGTTAATGTAGTTGCACATAAATTATCTTAAGACAGCAATTTAACTTTTTTTTTAACAATAAAGTTTGAAATGTAAAGATATTGAACAAAAGTGCATACTCAAAGGAAACAAAATCCAGCATTTACGTTCTCGTAGAGACGGAAAATTTCCTTGTCCACCGTCTTCATGATGAGTATATAAAATTTGCATCATCTTTTTAAACCAACCTGCAGGTATGATAGAATTCAACATGTTCGGGATGCCGCACGTGGGAGCTGACATCTGCGGTTTCTTCCAAGATACTACTGAGGAGTTGTGTGCTCGCTGGTCGCAGCTGGGCGCTTTCTATCCCTATAGTCGCAACCACAACACCCTCAGCTCCTCTGACCAGGTAAGTGTAGCAGCAAGTAGTGTTTCACTGCTGGGAGTGAATGAAAACGGTCAAGAATTTTCGGATTTGCCGATCACCAGAGACCGGGCAGCGATACGTGAGTAGAGGCTCGAGGTTCACTACGCCTTGTGTTGAATGACCCATTCTAGATTAGCATTTCATGAAATAAAATACCATATGAGTTTTCGGAGGCCAAATGCAAGTACAGTTCATTTTGTCTCTGCACTGACCTAAACTTCCTGGCAGTCATAAATTCCCTCAACGCTGACGATGTAGTACTTCCTGATGACTCTGAAAACTCTGATGCTCCTCTGGCAGGACCCAGGACTGTGGCCGAGTGTAGCGAGTTCAGCTCGTGCAGCTCTCCAGGTCCGCTACACCTTGCTGCCCTACCTCTACACACTGCACTACCTCGCCCACACTCAAGGCCTCACCGTCGTCAGGGCGCTCTTCTTCGAGTGAGCCAAATTTTTTCTTTGTTCCATTTTGTCTCTTTAATGTTAGTATCCAGTTTTTTAATGATTAATTCTACCTGTGTGCTAAAGAGGTAGGAATAAGAAGAACCACAAAGAAAAGTCCTAGGTTATTTCTGCATCATTCATTGCCTTTCCATTGACCTGGAAGGAAGACCTGGAAGTACTCTCCTCCCACCACTTTTGTAGTGAATGACCCACACGGGTTTAATGCGCTATAAAATGCATTATAATGTGGCTGTTGGAGTTTCTGTGCGAATTTAAAACGTAATTGTTTATTTTATTCTTCAGGAAACAAGAAGTGTTACCTAACTCGGGTTTCACTTGTGTGATGATTAACTAACTGATTTTTTTTTTCATATATCTGAGGCTTCCTCTGACTTGCTGGTCCACACTGAGCAAATAAAGACCATATTGTAAGTAATTTTTTAGGTACAGGTACACAAAAATGCAGTTACACCAATTGCCATGTTTCCTGACGCGGGTCTTAGTAATACGATGACCCACAGCTGGAACTTTTGGTCGAGGTCTTACCCTCACAAATTACCATACATAGTAACATGTGTAAATTATTTAGTATATCCCCCCAAAAAGTCAGCAGTGCGAGAACTAATAATACTGACTATAAATCACTTCTACTGTAGACTCCCTTGCTGAATGACTCACAGGTTTTTCTTTCCCCATTACAAATAATAATAATCCTGTAGACTCCAGAATAATCTATGCATTTCTCCCCTCAAAAAATATAAAAAAATATCAGTTTACTTTGGAAAAAATGTCTAATTTACGTACATTTCCAGCTTTTCAACTAAAACATTTTAAATATAAAACTTGACTGTTTTATGACCTGCCCTCCAGGTTCCCCAATATCTCAGACACGTGGACAATTGATGACCAGTTTTTATGGGGGTCGTGGCTTATGGTCACCCCGGTCATTGAGGCAGTAAGTTCTAGTTTTCTTTTGCAAACTTTTTTCATAGAAAACGATGCAAATTTTAGGAGTAACTATACTATATTACAAAGTTTTCACTTTTTTTTACGTATTTATTTAGGTATTACATTTAATCATACATAGACCAAATCCAACAAAAACAATATCATAGGACTGCAGCAGAAATTAATAATTTAAGCAGATTTTTTTTTATTAATGTTTGTTTTATGATTAGTCTTAACTGCTTTGTGTACCCGGAATTTTATACTATGCAGTATTCTCCACTGTAAATGCTTTATAGTTTAAAGTTTTGTAATTACGATTTAAACGAAAATTTTAAATGAACAAATTAATCAATAGAATATCTATATATACATCTGTCTATAAATGTACAAGTTAACTTTTTGCTGCTGCTGCTACTGCTGTTGTTGTTGCTGCTGCTGCTACTGCTGCTGTTGCTGCTGCTGCTGCTACTGTTGCTTCTGGCTGACATCTGGTGTTGCAGGGACAAACACTGCGCAGTGTGTACTTTCCAGCAGGTGTTTGGTATGACTACTACACGGTAAGTACAATATTCAACTGAACCTTAAAACACACGTTTGGAAATATTGACTTAAACTACACTCAGTCGTGGTGCTTTCAGTTGATTGATAATCTTGAATATTGACCACCAAAGGAGCCAACCCGGACCCATGTCTCCCCCTCCTTCAAAAAGAGAAATTTTTTTTCATTGGGTTTAAAACCCAAGAAAGTCAGTGTGTCAGGTTTTCACTGAGGTACTTTTAAGGGCCTTCGGAAGCGATTCTTGGGTACCTATTTACTGTGTGGTGAACAGGGGCAACAGGTGGTAGACTTACACATATGTTTCGCGTCATCCAGTGTTCGACCCCGGCTACTTTTGGTTGAGTCGAGCGCTGTACGACTGCGTTGTTAGGTACCTAACCTAACATAGAGAACACGGTGCTTAGCAGACTTGCAGGAAACGTTAAGATATTGACGCTGGAAACTTCGTAAGAAAATGAATGCAAGAAAAGAACGGCAGATTGTGTTATTAAAAATGTGATTTGCACATAGCTGTGAGAAATGATAACCTTCCCGGGAAAGTGTTTCATGATAATGACCTTTGCCAGTGAAGAATATCAACGTCATGGATCAAGACTCATAGATCAAAATCTTCCTATGAGAGGTCTTAATCTAAGATGCCGGTTGCATCAATAATTACTGAGATCCATAATCAGGATAATTTTAAATTTTAACTCCCAGACTTTGTGAATAAATTTTCTTAATGAAGATATATGTCAAATAGTATCTGAAAATGCTAAGAATTGTCCTCATGAGAATGCATTACCGAATTTTAGTAATGGAAAGAAATCAGGTTTGATCGGATGGAAGGGAGGATAGCTCTAGGTTCTTGAATTAAAAAACCTTCACTAGCAACAAGGAACACCCAATCCCCTCCCTACCTCGAAGGTTGGGGAGGGGATTTTGTTTTGTTCACTCTTTCGAGTGAACAAAACCTCAGAATTGCGAACCGTTTTGGAAAGAGAGTCTAGCTAGCCCATTTTCACAGAACTGCAAAGTCCCATTACTTAACCTAACCTGATTACCTCTTATTCTCCTGGCGTTGTGTGAGCCTCTTGGATTTAGCGTTTCCCCATGAATAAATAAAATAACTATAATAACAATGCGGAAATGAGAACAAATTCCTTGAGCCTAGCACACTGACGTGATCTATCATGACCCTAGGGCGAGGCTGTCAACCAAACAGAAGGAAGGACGCTGGTGGTGCAGGCTCCTCCAACACACATCCCCGTGTACGTGAGGGGAGGCGGTGTGCTTCTCACACAGCGACCCCGCGCCAACACCATGCTGGCTAGGTAAGTTTGTGAATTAACATCATTAGGTACATGGTACATGGCTAACTATTACTCAGCAACTAAATAATTCCAGCACCTACTGGAGTGTACTCTAACAGGTACTCAAGTTTTCCTACACAATGATCAGGGTGTTGTTTACACATTTAACATTCCAGCAGGGCTAGTTTTCAAACATTTTTTATCTAACTGGGAGGGGAAGTAAAATGTGGAAGAGCTTAAGGATATTTATAATTTTCTTTTATTAACCTCTTCAAGGAAGGGCATATCTAGGTGCAGCGACGGGTCTCTTCTTTTGGGGGAATGGACTTCTTGTCCCTTTCCTAAGATCGAATGTAAATGACTAACCCTCCCTATCTTCATTTAATTTCGTTAATGTAGAAACTTCGCCCTTTTCATAAAATCCAATTCCTAGAGAGAAGGAAAAATGGGTCACTGTCACCACTGTTATAAGTTAACATTCGTTAGTAGTGGTGCTGTACTCCTTTACTGCGGCATTCTTGTGCTCCACCCGTTGGAAAATAGATCATTTTAAGATGAAACGGCCTTGAAGGAAGGTGCCTCGATGCTGGTTGCTTCTCTGTCCAAGAAATTGGATACGTCCTCTCCTTCTTTAGATCATTCCATTTTGCCTCCCATTCCCCAAGTGCTGTAAGACCCTATGGGATTAGCACTGGAGAGGTCTCTGATGACTGGAGTATTACCGGAGGTTTCCTGTGGTTCTAAGAGTGGCAGTGGAAGTGTGTGACTCCTGACATTCTTTCTGGTTCATCCTCCATCATTCTTTGCTGTAAGACGATTGCCACCCACTATTTACCTTATAATAAATCTGAAAGTGACCCATTTTCCTGGATTCCAAGTGGCTGTGACACACTATACCCCAGCACCCGACCTCAGAACCCGAAATTACTTTCGGGCAGTAACTCGTTGGCCGGACCCGGTACCAATGATCTACCTACTTCCTTCTTAGATTGTTTATGCGTTGCCGGACAACGAACAACTAAGGGCTCTAAATTTATAACTAACACACCTCCCTCCCCCCCCCAAAAAAAAAAAAACTGTAAACTTTTTTTTTAAAGAAACCAATAGACACTCGTGGGCAAAATTCTTTGCACGTGAACCTATAATACCTAATAAATAAACGATACTTACATTGGGCAATAATTTTTTGGCTTCCATCGGATAAGACATCTCTTTCCATACATTTAAAGAAGCTTAGAAGGTGTTGTGCCTACGCGACACCGGGAGCACTTCAGTCAACACACTGACACTCCATCTTCAACTCAACCCGCCGGATCATTGTTATCTCGACCACAACATTGTAACGAGAATACAGAATGTGAACCATATATCCAAGTACTTGAACTTTACATATAATAGTAATAATAATAATAATTGGATTATTAAGCCTTGTTTATTTAAATGATATCTTTATTTATTTGGACATGATACATAGATGTACAAGGAATTATAGTAGTTGGATGTACGTGTCAAAAGCCCCTTGTACGTAGAGCATTATGGACAGGCTTAAAATTAACTTAAGATTAACTAAGCAATGATATATTCAGTGGTATAAATTATAGTAAACAAAATACAACATGAAGTACAAATGACTATTTTAAACAATGAAGTTTGAACCTTTCAATTAGGAGACTTTATAGTTGTACAGATTTGTAACATAACAATGTATAATATAAAATGATTAATATACTATATCAATATACTATTTGTAGTGCAGAAACAGGTCATAATGTCATTAGATAATTTACTGAGCATTCAAGAGAATGGATTATTCTTTCAGGTAATGTAATTAAAAATACATAGTTTGATAGGGTCACAGGTTACACTTTTATGAAATACAGTTATTCAATATTTATTTAGTTGTAGTTGAGTAAGTGTTTTTTAAGAAGAGACTTGAATTGATAAACAGTGTTCATTTTGTATTCAAAGGTAATGAATTTCAGATTTTTGGGCCTTTTATATGCATTGAGTTTTTACATAGTGTGAGATGGACACGAGGAACATCAAAGAGTGATCTGTGTCTTGTGTTTTGGTCATGTGTTCTATTGAGGCTGGTAAGGAGATGTTTGAGGGGAGGGTTTATATCTGAGTTTATTGTTCTATGTATGTAGTAGGTACAATAATAAGTATGGATGTTTTGTACAGTAAGTTTAGACTTTTGCATATTGGTGGAGTATGCTTCCTGGAGTGGCAATTTGTTATCATTCTAACTGCAGCCTTTTGTTGGGTAATTAGTGGTCTGAGATGATTTATTGTTGAGCCCCATGAACAGATTCCATACGTGAGATAGGGGTAAATGTGTGAGTGATATAAGGCCAGGAGAGCTGATTGTGGAACATAGTACCATATCTTCGATAGTATGCCTACGGTCTTGGAGATTTTCTTGGAAATTTGTTGTACATGTGTTTGAAATTTGAGTCTATTATGAAGGTGGATTGCTAAGAATTTTCCCTCTGTGAGTTTCGTGATAGGTGATCCGTTTATCAGTATGTTAAGAGGAACATCTGTAGTTCTGTTTTCAGACTGAATGTAGTAGGTTTTGTCAATATTGAGAGTAAGCTTGTTAATCATCATCCAGGCAGATATTTTCTGTAATTCGGTATTTACAGTATTGGCTAGCGTGACTGGGCTCGGGTGAGAGAAGACGTATGTAGTGTCATCTGCAAATAGTGTGGGTTTGAGTAGATGCGATACATTTGGTAAGTCATTTATGTAAATGAGAAAGAGAAGATGGCCAAGGACACTTCCCTGTGGGAATCCAACTGTAATTGGTTGTGTGGAAGAGTTTTCTCCATTTGTGTACACATATTGGCTTCTGTTGCTAAGGTATGACTTTAGGTAGTTGAGGGAGTGCCCTCTTATACCATAGTGTGATAATTGTATGTGCAACAAATCATGGTCAACTGTACCAAAAGCTTTACGTAAATCAATGAAGATCCCCAATGGGACTTCTTTTTTCTCAAGTGCAGTGTATATTTGTAAGAGGCCTAGCTTCTCCCTACGAGCCCCATGAGGGCGGGGAATGTGGCTAGGCCTGGGGACACTTGGTCCCAAAGATGAGGAGGTACTTGTACCTCCTCCCATGGGAGACTTAAGTCTCGAGACACTCCCCAGATAGGGAGCCAAGGCCGGGTCACCACTACTTGGAAAAGACCCGGGCCGGGAGAATACCGGCGAATAAAAAAAAAAAAAAAAAAAAAAGTGTATATTTGTTCGAGCATGTGTATAATAGCATCATTCGTATTTTTATTTGACCTGAACCCAAACTGACAGGGGTTGAGTATGTTGTGGGAGATGAGGTAGGAGTAAATTCGCTGGGTATTTTACCTTGGTATACTTTCACCACTACCATTGCGACTCTCATATTTCTTTCTGCTTGGAGATTTTCTCAGTAAATTTGATTATAACACAGCTATTAACTTTATCTTTACATGAATCTCTCCTGTATCTAATACCTTCTAAATGCTTGATTTCTTGCCTTCGACAGGAAAGAACCTCTGGGTCTGATCGTCGCTCCAGACTGGGAGGGTAGAGCCTCTGGCACCTTCTACTGGGATGATGGAGAGGCTGTGGGTGAGTCTTCTCTCTCTCTCTCTTTCTCGTCTGTTTATACTTTTTATATGTTGTGTATTTTGTTTTCTCTAGAGAGGATTTTTTAATCAAAATAATATAGTCTTGCAGTGTGTTGCTACTTTATATGATAGCTAGTTTTCTTACCTCAATACGAGTTTTTCCCAGTCATATTCCATCACGCATGTTGGGCTTTTTAGGAGACTGGGGAGGACGGCGGGGAGAGACTTGGTGCTCAAGGGTTCTGTTTGTCGTTAAAAATCTCACAATTTAGTCAGTATACAAGGCTTAATAACGACCAACTCCCGAAGGCGCACAGTATGTGTTCTGCTTAAGCTTCAACTTTTTTGCATTATCATACACAAAAAGCACAGACACGGCCTGACTCTAGCTCACTGACGTTAGTGTCATGGTCCCCCTCTCGTCTCCCCGGCACTGATCACTTCACATCTCATCACATCACACTGGCACCAACACTGGCACCAACACCGGGGATGGCCACTGTCACCAACACTGGCACCAACACTGGGGATAGCCAGTCACCAACACTGGCACCAACACTGGGGATAGCCAGTCACCAACACTGGCACCAACACTGGGGATAGCCAGTCACCAACACTGGCACCAACACTGGGGATAGCCACTGTCACCAACACTGGCACCAACATTGGGGATTGCCACTGTCACCAACACTGGCACCAACACTGGGGACAGCCACTGTCACCAACACTGGCACCAACAGTGGGGATAGCCACTGTCATCAACACTGGCACCAACACTGGGGATAGCCACGGTCACCAACACTGGGGAGAGCCACTGTCACCAACACTGGCACCAACAACGGGGATGGCCACTGGCACCAACACTGGCACCAACACTGAGGATAGCCAGTCACCAACACTGGCACTAACACTGGGGATGGCCACTGTCACCAACACTGGCACCAACATTGGGGATAGCCACTGTCACCAACACTGGCACCAACAGTGGGGATAGGAACTGTCACCAACACTGGCACCAACAGTGGGGAGAGCCACTGTCACCAACACTGGCACCAACACCGTTGATGGCCACTGTCACCAACACTGGCACCAACAGTGGGAATAGCCACTGTCACCAACACTGGCACCAACACTGGGGATAGCCACTGTCACCAACACTGGCACCAACACTGGGGATGGTCACTGGCACCAACACTGGGGATGGCCACTATCACCAACACTGGCACCAACACTGGGGATGGCCACTGTCACCAACACTGGCACCAACACTGAGAATAGCCACCGTCACCAACACTGGCACCAACACTGGGGATGGCCACTGTCACCATCACTGGAACCAACACTGGGGATAGTCACTGTCACCAACACTGGCACCAACACTGGGGATAGCCACTGTCACCAACACTGGCACCAACACTGAGGATAGCCACTGTCACCAACATTGGCACCAACACTTGGGATGGCCACTGTCACCATCACTGGCACCAACACTGGGGATAGTCATTGTCACCAACACTGGCACCAACACTGGGGATAGCCACTGTCACCAACACTGGCACCAACACTGGGGATGGCCACTGTCACCATCACTGGAACCAACACTGGGGATAGTCAATGTCACCAACACTGGCACCAACACTGAGGATAGCCACTGTCACCAACACTGGCACCAACACTGGGGATGGCCACTGTCACCAACACTGGCACCAACACTGAGGATAGCCACTGTTACCAACACTGGCACCAACACTGGGGATAGCCACTGTCACCAATATTGGCACCAACACTTGGGATGGCCACTGTCACCATCACTGGCACCAACAGTGGGGATAGTCATTGTCACCAACACTGGCACCAACGCTGGGGATGGCCACTGTCACCAACACTGGGGATGGCCACTGTCACCAACACTGGCACCAACACTGGGGATAGCCACTGTCACCAACACTGGCACCAACACTGGGGATAGTCATTGTCACGAACACTGGTACCAACACTGGGGATGGCCACTGTCACCAACACTGGGGATGGCCACTGTCACCAACACTGGGGATGGCCACTGTCACCAACACTGGGGATGGCCACTGTCACTAACACTGGGGATGGCTACTGTCACCAACACTGGTAATGGCTACTGTCACCAACACTGGGGATGGCCACTGTCAACAACACTGGGGATGGCCACTGACACCAACACTGGGGGTGGCTACTGTCACCAACACTGGGGATGGCTACTGTCACCAACACTGGGGATGGGAACTGTCACCAACACTGGGGATGGCTACTCTCACCAACACTGGGGATGGCTACTGTCACCAACACTGGGGATGGCTACTGTCACCAACACTGGGGATGGCTACTGTCACCAACACTGGGGATGGCCACTGTCACCAACACTGGGGATGGCTACTGTCACCAACACTGGGGATGGCTACTGTCACTAACACTGGGGATGGCTACTGTCACCAACACTGGGGATGGCTACTGTCACCAACACTGGGGATGGCTACTGTCACCAACACTGGGGATGGCTACTGTCACCAACACTGGGGATGGCTACTGTCACCAACACTGGGGATGGCCACTGTCACCAACACTGGGGATGGCCACTGTCACCAACATTGGGGATGGCTACTGTCACCAACACTGGGGATGGCCACTGTCACCAACATTGGGGATGGCTACTGTCACCAACACTGGGGATGGCTACTGTCAACAACACTGGGGATGGCTACTGTCAACAACACTGGGGATGGCCACTGTCACCAACATTGGGGATGGCTACTGTCACCAACACTGGGGATGGCTACTGTCACCAACACTGGGGATGGCTACTGTCACCAACACTGGGGATGGCTACTGTCACCAACACTGGGGATGGCCACTGTCACCAACGAGCAGCTTGAAGTAAGGTACAACGTGTCTAAATCATAATGGAGTGGAAATATTTTCAGGCGACCATAACATCAAGTCTTATAATGAAGACAACATCTCAAGCGGATATTCTTAAATTTCAAGACTTTTTGATGAAAATTGTTTAGAAAACCAAGTTGAAGAATGTGAAAATTGTGCAACATTTGAGAAACTTTAATGAGAGAACATTCTCGCCAGCCCAGTGGCTTCATCAGTCCAATACAGATCAGAAGGGTGTAAGGATAGGAGGAGTTTGAGGTAATCAGTCCCTCAGCCTGGAGTCGATATGTTCAGTCCATCAATCTTGTAGAAAGTACAGTACAGGGCCGTAGACGTGGCTTATATACTGTAGTCAGGTGAGGCGAAGCAGGAGAAGGCGACTACAAGGAATTCTTCAACCTTGTCCAACCTTTGGACGAAGACCTACTTCGACTAGTGGATGGTACCACTATGACCCCGCCTTCTCCTGCTTCGCCTCACCTGACTACAGTATATAAGCCACATCTACGGCCCTGTACTGTACTTTCTACAAGATTGATGGACTGAACATATCGACTCCAGGCTGAGGGACTGATTACCTCAAACTCCTCCTCTCCTTACACCCCTTCTGATCTGTATTGGACTGATGAAGTCACTGTGTGGCGAAACGTTTCTTCAATAAAGATTCCCATGTGTTCCATTAGTGTTTCATTCTTCAAAACTTAAATTGACATCTCAGCTGTTTTACATTTTATAAAGATTTACAGAAGTGTGATAGAGAACTCATAAGCGATAAACGAAGAACAAACAATAATCTGTAAGTATTTTTTTAAAGTGCAAAATCCAAAGTTTGCAAGATTCAATATAGGTTTCCGGTATTGACAGTGCCATCCCATCACCATTGGAGACGTTAGTCTGTTTACACCGAGCAAGCACTCCGCCTACCAGTGAATTGCTTTCCATTCATAGTGTGGTGTGAATGGGCGAGGATATCCTCCACAACAGGTCGTAAATCAGAATTATTGTTTACTATGAAGAGTAAAGCTACTGTTTCATATTTCAGCAATTTACCTGAGCGCATCTGTTAGCCTTTTCGGACTTCAAATGTTCATATATATATATATATATATATATAATATATATATATATATAATATATATATATATATATATATTATATATATATATATATATATATGTAGTATTGTAGCCACGAACAAGTGGCATTTAATGAATAACAACACTGCGACTAGTCGAGGATTCGAACCTGTGTTGTTTTAGCCCGCCTCATGGTGAGTGAAAATTCACGACGCTCTAACCCACAGGAGCATACGATTCTACAAACATCTTTAGCCTAGCGAACTAGGCTTGCTTTAAGTTGCTAGGACATACGATGGTGTGGTTGCCTCAGAGCTAATTTGATTCTACTCCCCGTTTGGTGTATTAGCCTCACAAGCAGTGTAAATATTATTGTAGTCACAAACAAGTGGCATTTAATCAATAACAACACTGGTACCTGTCGGAGGATCGAACCCGTATTGTATAATTAAACCGTTGATGGGTGGCTTATGAGAAGTCAGTATTCTGAGATGTGCAATTCACACACACACGCACACACAGCCTTAAGAAGAGGTACGCCGAAGCTCTTAGATCAGGGAGAGAGAGGCCCTAGTAGCGATCAGTGAAGAGGCGGGGCCAGGAGCTATGACTCGTCCCCTGCAACCACAAAAAGGTGTGTACAAATAGGTGAGTACACACATAGCCAGGAGCTGTGACTCCCGGCTATAACCACAAATAGGTGAGTACACACACACACATAATGCAGACTGAATAACAAATGTGAGAAGTGGCACAAAAGAATCATGGAGGCATCCCCCAGACGTCATAGCACTCGTAACAGATGCGATCTTTCCATCTGGATATCAGATCCTGCAGAAAGGAGAGAGGAATTGCAATGCTCATTAATAACCAGTGGAGATTTGAGGAAATGAAAGGAATGAACAGAAAAGAAGCAAGGAACTACATAGTAGGAACACTTCAGAGTGGGGTTCCCAAGGTGGTGATTACAGTGATGTACAACCCTGCCACAGAACAGCAGGAGGCCAAGACAAGAATATGATGAGGGTAACAGAGTAATGGTGGACACATTATCTGAGGTGGCCAGAAGGGCCCATATGGTTAGGGCAAAGTTACTAGTTTGGGTGATTTCAATCACAAGGAGAGTGACTGGGAAAAACTGGAGAGCTAAGATGATGAGATGATGGAAGTGGTACTACAAACCCTCATGCATCAGCATGTTAGACTACCAAATAGAGAGAAGATGAACCGGCAAGGCTGGACCTTATATTCACCTTGAGTAGTTCAGACTTTGAGGACATCACATATGAAAAGCCCCTCTGAGATAGTGATCAAGTGGTCCTGAGCTTCAAATACATAGTAGTGTTAAAAGTGGAGAGTGAAGCAGCACAAGTATGTTGGGAGAAGCCAGACTACACAGGCATGAGGAATTTCCTGCATGAGGTACAGTGGGAAAGAGAACTGGTGGGAAAATCAGTAAACGAAATAATGGAATACATAACCAAAAAAATGCAATGAGGCAGAGGAGAGATTTGTACCCAAGGGCAACAGAAACAATGGGAAGACAAAAATAAACCTTTGGTTCACCCTAAGGTGTAGAGAGGCCAAAACTAAGTGTGCTAGAGAATGAAAAAATTATAGAAGAAAAACGAAGTCCGGAATATAAGGAGGTTAGCCGAAGAGCCAGAAATGAATATGCATAGATAAGCAGGGAGGCTTAGCTACCAAATCTGACCCAAAGCCGTTGTCAGCATAGTTGCTGATCCCCTACATATGTTGTATAGCTTATCTGAGTATCATAGTATCATCCATATGTTTTATATAGACGACCCCTTGCTAGACTTAGCGGCTAGCATGTGTGACGTCACGTGATACCGCATGTGAGCGTCAGATGCGCTGTCCCCTTCTCAGTCCACGGATAAACCTACACAGGCAACAAGGCAGGCTGGGCTCCCCTCTCACACTCTGCTAATATAAGTGTACAACTCAACAAGTGTGTTTATCTCCAACCATCATATTTCCACGGAACCCTCTCAACACCATTGTACAGCCACATCAAGAGGAAAACAACAGTCAAGGATCAGGTAATCAGTCTGAAGAAGGAAGGAGGGGAGATCACAAGAAATGACAAAGAAATATGTGAAGAGCTAGCTCAACACGAGATTCAAGTGCTTTCAGTGTAGACAGAAAGGACTCCAGCAAACCGGGATGGAAGGGTACACCAGCAGGTGCTAGACACACTACATACAGCAGAGGAGGAGGCGAAGAAGCTGCTTAGTGAGTTAGATACCTCAAAGGCGGTGGGACCGGACATCTCTGTGGGTCCTGAGAGAGAAAGCAGAGGCGCTATGTGTACCACAAACAACAATCTTCAGCACATCTATCGACACAGGGCAACTACCTGAGGTGTGGATGACGATAAATGCTGTCCCAATCTTTAAGAAAGGAGATACAGGTGGCATTGAACTACAAAATAATGTCACTGACATGCATAGTATGCAGTTATGGAGAAACTTATCAGGAAAAGACTGGTGGAGAACCTAGAAAGGAATGAGTTTATACACGATAACCAGCACGGTATCAGAGAGGGGAAATCCTGCATCACTAACCTACTGGAGTTTTACGATAAGGTGACAGAAGACAGGAGAGAGAGGGGTAGGTAGATTGTATTTTCTTAGAGTGCAAAAAGGCTTTCGACACAGATCCGCACAAGAGAATAGTGCAAAAGCTGGAGGAGCAGGCAAGAATAACATGAAAGGCATTGCAATGGATCAGAGAATACCTGACAGGAAGGAAACAACGAGTGATGGTACGTGTCAGAGTACGTGCCTGTGATGAGCGGAGTTCTACAAGGGTCAGTCTTAGGGCCGTTGCTGTTTCTGGTAAACGTGAATGACATGATGGAAGGGATAGATTCAGAGGTGTCCCTGTTTGCAGACAATGTGAAGCTAATGCGGAGAATTCAAGTTGATGAGTATCAGGCTGGAGTACAAAGGGATCTGGAGAGGCTGTAAGCCTGGTCCAACAACTAGCTCCTGGAGTTTAACCCCACCAAATGCAAAGTTATGGAGATTGGGAAGGTGAAAGAACACCGTAGACAGAGTACAGGCTAGGGGGCGAAAGACTGCAAACCTCACTCAAGGAAAAGGATCTAGGGGTGAGTATAATACTGAATTCATCTCCTAAGGCACACATTAGCCAAATAACTGTTGCAGCGTTTGGACGTTTGGCAAACCAAAGAATAGCGTTTCGACACCTGAGTAAGGAATCAATCTAGACTCTGTACACCGTGTACGTCAGGCCCATATTGGAGTATGCAGCACCAGTATGGAACCCACAACTGATCAATCACGTCAGAAAATTAGAGGAAGTACAAAGGTTTGCAGCAAGCCTAGTCCTGGAGCTAATTGGTATGTTCTGTGAGGAAGTATTTCTTCAGCCTTAGAGATGTCAGGAAGTGGAACAATATAGAGAGTGATGTGGTGGAGGCAGGATGCATACATAGCTATAAGAAGAGATACGACAAAACTCATGCAGCAGGGAGAGAGTGGACCTAGTAGTGACCAGCGAAGATGCGGGGCCAGGAGCTGTGAATCGACTCCTGCAACCACAAATAGATGAGTACAAAAGAACGAGTAAATGTTATTTTTAATCTCATATTTGTTCTTAATTTTCTTGGCTTCTCACTATCTTTACCATCATCAGTATTTCTTTTTCAGTCATTTTTTATCTAAACTTTTCATGTTTGCTGCGTCATTATTATTGTTGTTCCACTCAGGATGTTCCTTACATGTTCCCCAGATCCTGTAGACTCGGGCGAGTACTTCACGGCGAAGGTCACGTACTCACAAGTAAGTACATACATGGATTTGGCGGGTCATACTTCAGGGAGGAGCTGGTGGGTCACACTCCAGGGAGGAGCTGGTCACACTCCAGAGAAGAGCTGGTGGGTCACATTCCAGGGAGGAGCTGGTGGGTCACACTCCAGGGAGGAGCTGGTGGGTCACACTCCAGGGAGGAACTGGGACTAGTTTTGCTGCAAACCATTGTATTTTCTCTAATTTCATGACGTGCTTGACCAGGTGTGGGCTCCATAATGGTTCTGCATACTCCAATATGGGCCTGACGTACACAGTGTACAGTGTCTTCAATGACTCCTTACTTAGATATCGAAACTCTATTTTTAGGTTTGCCAGTCGCCCACATCCTGCAGCAGTTATTTGGTTGATGTGCCCCTCAGGGGATGTGCTTAGTATGATACTCCCAAGATCCTTTTCCATGAGTGAGTTCTGCACCTTTAACCTAGGCTATACTTCGTCTGTGGTCTTCTTTATCCTTCCCCAAATTTTATGACACTACACTTGCTGAGGTTAAACTCCAGGAGCCATTTGTCGGACCAGGCTTGCAGCATGTCTAAATCTCCTTGTAGGCTTACCTTATCCTAGTCCACTTGTACTTTTCTCATTTACTTCACATCGTCTGCAAAAAGGGATACTTCTGATTCTATCCCTTCTGGCATATCATTCACATATATTAGAAACAGCACCGGACCCAGGACTGACCTTGTGGAACCCCACTCGACATATGCACCCACTCTGACACCTCGTCACGTACCAACACGTTGTTTTCTTCCTCTCAGGTATTCCTAATCCATTGAAGTACTTTCCCTGTTATTTCTGCCTGCTCCTCAGCTTTTCAACTAATCTCTTGTGTGGTACTGTATAAAAAGCCTTCTTATTGTCCAAGAAGATGCACTCTACCCATCCCTCTCTTTCATGTCTTCTGTACCTTATCCTACAACTCCAGTAGGTTTGTGATGCAGAATTTCCCTTCCCTGAAGCCATGCTGATTGTCATGTATGAGCCCATTCCTTTCTTGGTGCTCCACCACTCTTCTCCTGATAATCTTCTCCATTATTTTACATACTATACATGTCAGTGACACAGGTCTGTAGTTTAGTGTAGCCTGTCTGTCTCCTTTTTTAAAATATTGGCTGTGTTTACTGTCTTCTACACCTCAGGCAGTTGCCTTTTTTTTCAGTACATTTATTGAAGATTATTTTAAGTGGCACACATTGTGCATCTGTTCCCTCTCTCTCAGGACCCACGGAGAGATGTTATCTGGGCTCACCACCCTCGAGGTATCTAATTCACCTAGCAGTTTCTTCACGTTTGCAGTGTGTCCAGCACTTGCTGGTGCACCCTACTCCCTCGGTTTGTTGGAAGCATCTCTGTCTCCATTGTGAATACCTTCCTGAATCTTGAGCTGAGTTCCTCATATACTTCCTGGTTGCTCCCTATGAGCTCCCCTCCTTCCTTCCTCATGCTGATTACCTGGTCCTTGACTGTTGTTTTCCTCCTGATGTGGCTGTATAACAACTTTGGGTCAGATTTAGCCTTTGATGCTATGTCATTCTCGTATTGCCTTTGGGCCTCTTTCCTTGTCCATGTATATTCATGCATGGGTAAGGAAAGTCCTTTGCCTTCTGTACTTTTTTCCATATTCTAGCGCACTTGGGTTTGGCCTCTTCACATCTCCAGGTAAACCATTGTTTCTGTTGTCCCTGGGCACGAACTTCTGCACTGCCTCCCTGCACTTTGCAGTCACATGTTCCATCATTACGTTTACTGTCTGCCCCTCTAGCTCTCTTAACTACTGCACCTCATGCAGGAATTGCCTCATACATACGTAGTTTCCTTTTCTGAAGTTTGGTTTCTCCTGTCCTTCTCGTACTGTCTCACTCTTCATTGTTAACGCTATTCGAAACTCAGGACCATGTGATCGTTAGCGCCGAGGGGCGTTTTCTGTGATTTTCCCTATGTCTGAACTGTTGAAAGTGAATACAAGGTCCAACTTTTCTGGTTCATCGTCTCCTCTTTCTCTGGTTGTGTCCCTAATATGTTGGTACATGACGCTTTCCAGCACCACCTCCAGCATCTTTGCTCTCCATGTGTCCAGTCTCCCATGTAGCTTCAGATTATGTGGGCCCTTCTGGCCATCTCGGCTAGTGTGGTCACCATCATTCTGTTACTGTTATCATATTCTTGTCTTGGTCTTCTGCTGTTCAGTGGTGGGTTGTACATCACTTCTATCATCACTTTTAGACCCCTGCTTAGAAGTGTTCCAATGTAGTTATCCACTTCACCTCTGACTAGTCCTCCCATATCCTCAAAACTCCATTGGTTTCTGATAAGCAGTGCAACTCCTCCCCCTCTGTTCACCCCACCTTTCCTCAGGATCTGACATCTAGGTGGGACGATCGCATTTATTACCCCTGTAAGTTTTGTCTGTGAGTGTTATGATGTCCGGGGATGCCTCGGTAATTCTTTCCTGCCACTCCTCACTCCTATTTGTTGTTCCATCTGTGTTGGTGTACCATACCTTCAGCTTCCTTTCCAGAACTGTATTCAGGGGGATGGAATGGGTTGGTGCAGACTGAGGGTGTGGTAGACAGGACTGGATGTTATGGTGGGCTGGTGTTGTGGTAGTATTAGTGCTGAGGGGGGACTTTGGGTGTGGAGTGTGGTTTGTTTCTGGTTGTTGTTTGGTTGGTGTGGGTTGATAGGGGTTGAGGGGATGCTATGAGTGATTCTGTGGATGGCTGTGTTTGTTGTTCCCCCTGAAGTTACACTCCTCTCTGTTAATACCTGTTCGGTGTTTCTGCCTCTGGCACCTTCTTACTCTCTCAGTTATTCCTGTTCTTTTTGCATTCTGTCACGGTTGAGGTACACTCACTGGTATTTTGGGAAATCCTTTAACTATGGTTTCCTCTGCAGGTTCTTGTTTCATACCATTTCTGTCTTGAATGTCAGTTTGATTAGGTAGTTCTTTTCCTTCGAGTACTACCCAAGTCTGAAAATTTGTCAGTTGGTTCATGCTCTCTCCTGCTACTGCAATGATGTTCTCAGTCTTCTTTCATCATAGGTCTTCTCTTCTCCCCCATGAAGCCCATGAATAATAAGCGACCTCTCCCTCTCCTTTTCCCATTTCGTTTCCCTCCATAACTCTGTGTCAGTGTAGTAATAGTTACTAGTTATCAAAAGCACTTGTCGATGGATACTTGACCTATTGTTGATGTGTGTGTGTGTGTGTGTGTGTGTGTGTGTTGTGTGTGGAGGGAAGATGAAGAAGTTTGTTTAGTTTCAATCTGTCATTTTTCCCTTCCTCACCGCTGAATCCCTTCAAGGGATTCAGTTCATTTCAGGGAATTGGACCAATTCTCCACTTGGGTGAAACCTATTGTCTCTCATTCTCCAGATTCTGTACGAACCCTACAAGTTTAGTGCTTCCCCATATATGTAATAATTAAGCTGTTGAATGACCACTACAGTTTAGTGCTTTTGGTGACTATATTAAGTTGGTTCCTCTCGTCTCACGTTATCGATTTGTTCAGTGTGGCAATACTCTTAGTTGTAGCGCAGGATATCTTAAAAGATAAATCTAATATACTACGATCGGTAAGTCGAGTGTGGCTGCTGCCGCCGTGGTCTGCCGTGAGTCCAGCAGCTACTACATTCACACCCATGTATTATTATTATTATTAAAGATTCGCCGGTATTCTCCCGGTCCGGGCCTTTTCCAAGTGGTGGCCCGGCCTTGGCTCCCTCTTTAGGGAGTGTCTGAGACCTAAGTCTCCCATGGGAGGAGGCACAAGTACCTCCTCATCTTTGGGACCAACTGTCCCCAGGCCTAGCCACAAGCTAGGCCTCTTGGTCCGCCATCCCCGCCCCAAGGGGGCAAATGGGAATGACAGTCTTATGAGCTAAAGGCTCGGGCTCAGGCACCTACCCTACCCTAGAAGGGTTAGGCATGATGTCGATCACACACCCATGTTGGTAAACACCGCTATATATAACGCTGCACTCCAGCAGTTGCCTCTTGCGCGCTATCACATTTGAATGTGTCAATAGATGCTAGTGTGTGTGTGTGTGTGTAGTAGTAGTAGTAGTAATAGTAGTCGTTGCAGCAGCAGCAGCAGCACACGCCAGTAGTCGCTTCTTACCGGGATTCTGTCCGTTTTGGATATAACTACTTCAATGACTGTTTAATAGTACCATTCTTCCACCCGAAGATTAACAGCCTCCCCTCAACACTTAAACATTCGTGGACATTTCCTCGACAGTGGGTTGTAATTCACATGCACAATGGACACTTACACCTACTAGGATGGGTCCTTGGTGCCGCCTGGTTCCTGGGTTTATTACCAGGATAAATGATTCATTGCTCATGTACACTGAATGAAAAGGGCTTGACACAAAGGGTGAACATATGACACGTTGATAAGACACTTTGATAGGCTCCGGAGCTTAATGACGCTGGCGCACTAGTGCCAACTATTATATTTGAAGTCCCTAAATGCCTTGCACAAATAACAGAATGCAGTCTATTTGATGAACAAGGTAAGGACAAAGGACTTTACCTACTCCTCAAGTGTGAATATACCTGGGGCTGGGGTCCTTTGGTGTCTTGGGCTCCTGATGGCATCAAAACAAGATGCCAATCATATTAGGTCTTATTTACTGATAAGCACTGTCGTGGGGTCCTATTGTCATATCATTACCACTTACACTCGGTACCTTTGACAACATTTAGCCCCCGTGTGATAGTCTGCACTTACAGTGTGGATTCTGGCTTAGGTCCAGAAAATCCACTGTTGAATGATTCTAGAATCTGCTTAACTTAAAGACCCAGAGTAACTATTACAACACGCAATAAATGGGCCTAAGTCTGCTCAAGGAAAACGCCACTAACTTGTCAGGCTTCCTACAAAAAAGTCTGAGAACTCTAATTATCCAAATAATATCTATGGAAATGTTTATAATAAACATCGAATCCTAATGTCCTACACACA